GTTCGGCGCCTGCCAGCTTCAACTGCAAACAGTGAGGGCTGTCCGTCGGTAAGAATCCAGAAATGGCTGCCTGGATACGAACGGGGACCTAGCGCATCGACCTCTGTCCAATGAGACCTGGAGGCAAGCATGACCTGCAGGTCTATGCTCTCTGGGGCCCGGAAAGTGCGTGGGGCGAAGGTAAGGGTCATGCCTGTCTGTAGGGAAATCCACTGTTGTGGAGCAAGGCACTGCTGTAGGCCATGGGCGTAGACCTCCACATCATCGTGTGCCTTAAGCCCTGCTGCAACGAGCATCGACTCACGACTGAGGAACAATGGCAAGGCTTCTGCAAAAAGGGCGCCGTTGCACCTGGTGCAATCAAGTAGAACAACTGCCCTGTCCTCCAGCCACACTGGCGCGGCAACAAGATAGGCATTGTTCCGGACGGGCTGAGGAAAGGTGGCGCAGAGGCGCAACAAGGGGGCACCAATCGCTCGTGCAACACGCACGGCGTCGAGAAAATCAGAAGGGCCGCAGGGGCAAGGCACGCGCACTGTGACAAGCTCCGGTAGGCATAGAGGGGCATAGATGAGCACGGTAGTGGCGTAAAGAACTCGCTCCCCGTCTGCGGCACATTGTGCGTAACCGCCAGTATCAGTCGAGGCGCCAGAGCCTGAACTGGCCTGGGATCGTGCAGCAAAGGCCGGGACGTTGGCAGCGATACCTTCGGCGACGTCAGCGTCAAGGCCCGAATCCTCCCACGGGGCCGCGGGAAAGGCTGCAGGCATAGGAGCATCGGGCTGTTGCCGGTCAGCCCCCTCGTTCCAACTGTGTCCCTCCGGCAGGGAAGGATCAAAGTAGTACTGTGTGTCTTCAGCGACAACAGCAAGGGGCTGAGCACTACCAGAGCCGAATTGTGACATGTGCCGCCTAGGCAAAGGCATCTGTGGGGCAACTGGTAAAACAGGCTCGGGCGCCCGCTCATCTCGAGGCTCCCTGACGGGCCCATCATCGCCGTGACCAGTATTATCGGAGTCTGGACTCGGGTCCGGCTCCTCTGACACGGCCTCCTGCGCATAGAACAGCAGGCGGGCACTACCGTCCAAGTGAACATCATGTCCGACGCGGTGGCCGCCGACCACACCCAACTGGTATGCTGCGGGCACGGCAATATCGAACCGAGCTGCAAGGCTTGGAACGTGCACTACAGGCACATTGGTATAAACAAACCGAGGCTTGTACCCTATCGGCCGAAAATCCAGAAGAACAAAAATGTCACGCGGTGGGTAGCGCTGGGCTTCTCGGGACGTCGGCATGAGGACGTCTGCAACCGCGACAACAAAGGTGCACAAATCGCCATGAACGTCCAGGTCCTGGACAGGAAAGCTGCAAAGGGCAGAGACCAGGGGCCGCACACCCAGCTCCTCAGCGACAAACCTTATGACATCCTGTTCCTGGTACTGGTGCTCAAGGAAACAGTATCTGTGCTGCCGGTACAACGCACATACACCAACCTGAAGGCTCAGTCCTGGAAAGTGTTGCAGCTGCCCCCATTCAATGGGCGGCCGGAAAAGCGCTTCGTATCTGTGTTTGGCGAAGCGCGCCTCCTTGTCGCAAAGGACAGTAATCACCTCGCCGTCCCTTAACTCAACAATCGCTTGGGGTGGCCACGGCCGGGAGCGACAGCCAACGTAGAAGTAGAGTGGCTCATCATCGCGGTTGGTTAGCGGCTCAAAGTAACTGACAAGGGCGTTGTATTCAAGCCTGCTGGGCAAAACCGTGGCGAAGTAATTGCCACCAACACGCGTGAGATCGAGCACAACGGCTACCTGGCCCTCAGCACCACAGCCACGGATGCAACTGCTGAACCTAATGAAATACCCGAAGCCCGACAGTCGCTGGGGGTGGAGGGGTGTCACACTATCCAACAAACCCTGAGGGACGCCTGGAGCGTGAGCCCGTACAAGGTCAAGCACTTCTGTCGCCGGCTCAGGGCTGGTCGGGCGGACTGCGAGGGTGACGGGCTTATAGTGTGGCGTATACACAATGCATGCAAGCCACTCAGTATTGGCTTCGGCTTCAACGTTCTGTGGTGCAGGGAGCGGCTGGAAAGTGACCCTGTCATCGGCCTGCGGAGGACTGTCGTCCTGCCATGGGAGCTGTATCTCACAATCCCCGGTGTAGACAGCGTACTCGGCCGGGTTATCGAAGTGGGGCGCATGTAGGCCTGTGTAAGGTCGCCCAGGGGGCTCACCTGGCTCGGGGTTCCGAGCCATTGCTTCCGCAACACCGAAATTACAAACCCATATCGGTGCACAAAAGATACCGACTGTGAACGGCTGAGGCGAACTCCCAAGCCCTAGAAACCACAGGAGGCAAGTGACATGCCATGAGGAACGGGGGGCCCGGCTGCCACGACGGGAAGCCGAACGTCCTTTACGGTCGATCCAAGGCTTCCAATTAAGAACGGGTTGTTGGCAGCAGGCAACCCCAAGAGCACAACACACCTTCGGTCTGGCACCTGCAAGAGGTAACCGAAGCAGCTGTCCCAGAGGGGAGGCACCGGTGTGCCAGGAATGCAACAACAAGCGCAAAAGGCACAAGAAGCCACACACTGCAATGCTCCGAAAGGCAGGTAGGAGGAAAGCAGCAACTGCGTCGAGGAAATCAAGAAGGCCACATGCAGGGCGCCGCCGTAGTGCGCCGGCAGCATTGCCAACGGGGGCGGATGTCCCTGAGCGACCGATACATCTCTTTCGCGCTCCCCGTGGCAAAAACTCCAAACAGCACCCGTCCAGGGAGGTATGAGTCACCACTGGACCATTGAGGTAGACGCGGTTGGCAAGAAAGGCGCCTGCAGCCTGAAGACGGGGAATAACCCAAACATCTAAGGAACAGGGGCCACCACGAGGGCCACATCTGGACTCTACGACGTAGCCACTTACCGTCCTATGGGCGGGGGGCCTAAACCCTATACCCGGAGAAAGGGGGCGGCAGGGCGTCGCAAGGGCCGAAGCAATCGCCGGAACGCGGCCCGCTTGGTGAGTGGCGGAGGCGGATGTCCCAGAGCGACCGATACATCTCTTGCGCGCACCCCACACACAACACCAGCGAAGCACTATACGGCACTCGGTCCGACGGCAACATGGCAAGGAAGAACAAAAACCATGGCTGCAGACCCAAGTCCAGGGCCGGGCGCGGCGAAGGCCCACCCAAATCCTTCCCAGAACCCAAGGGAGGGACAAGGCGGCCGAGGAAGACGTGCGCGAGGAGGGCAGATCCGGACAGAGGGCCTGTACAGGGCATGAGGCAGACAGCAGGCTACCGGGACCCGGGAGTTTACGAAACTCCTCACAGGTGGCAAGGCTGTGAACAACGCGCCCTGAAGCTTGACCGGGGGACACTGGAAGGCGGCGAGTGCTGTCCTCTGGTCCCATCAGAGGCAAGTACTCAAACCGCTCCGGGCCCCCAAGCCGCTCACGGAGGCGCGTGCTCACAGCGTCGCCAGAAGGCGCTGCCCAAAACTCGGCGAAGGCGTCGGTGGCAGTTAATCGTCTTTTGCCTTGCCCTCGGTAGAGATGTCGTCGTCGCTGTCGTCCTCCAAAATGGAGGCCCGAAAGGGCTGGCCAGTGCTCCCTTGAGCAAGCGTGCCCACCCCAAAGGGTCGCAACGCGGTGCCCTGCATTCGGCCGCACGCCGCATCTCGAGCTTCTCGCTGAGGGTGGTGCCAGTCGTGGGCACAGCCGGCGCCTGCTTGGTCGCCTCCTTGATCCCTTCTCGAGGTGGCATGACGGAGGTCGGCATCCTCGGAACGCTGACATCTCGCTGTCCTGGATGTTTGGGGGACTGTCGGGCGAGTCCGGCCTCCAGACCCGGTGGCTTGGCATGCAAGCCTTGCGTATTGGTAGCTAGCGGAGTGCAGCCAGGCCCCGGCGTCGCATCCGCTCCCACTGCCAAATATGGGTCCGTAGCCGGCCCCAAAGGACTCTGGCCAGTGCTTCGCCCAACCTGCGAATTGGGCGTCATGGGCTGGGTGGCACGAGGGCGCTGCGGAGTGCAGGGTGTAAGGCCTGCGGCTCGAGCCTGTGCCAGAGCCCTTTCCATGACCCCGTCCAGATCGTGCTCCGTCTCCTGTTCCCACTGTCCACGGGTAACAGCCCATGCCGCTTCGTCTTCGTCTTCCACCGGCGCGGCAACGTCCATGGTCTCGGAGGACGTGCGAACGCCAAAGACCATCAATCTGGCCTTTTCCTGCTGCTCCAGGGCATCTGCTATGTCTCTTTCGAGCCTCTCCAGGTTGGCGTTGAACTTCTTCCGCTCGCGGATAAACATCTGCTTCATCTCTTGATCGTACGCCTTCCACTGGAGATGAGCTCGGTCGCGCTGCGCCTGCAAACGAGTAACTCGCTGCTCGGACTTCCTGGCCGCATTCAGCAGCTGCTGGAGCCCCTGCATAGGGCCAGCTTCCTGCCCGGCGGGCGTACCCTTGCCCTGGCCTTTGCGCGCATCCTGGGGGGTCGCTGTAACCATATCCTGGTACGACGGGAAGTTGAAAGCCTTGCCATCGCCACCAGCATCCCAGCCACGCTCCTGCCGCCACGGCCGCTGCTGCGGTGAAAACGCGCCCCGCCATACCTGCCAGCCTGCATTGGGGTCTTTCTGTGCCTGGCCTCCTCGGCCACCGCGACCCATGGCCTCCGCTAGCCGTCGCCGTAATGGTGGCGCTGTCGCGTGGTGCGACCAAACCCTGAAGGCTTGCCGCGAGGTAAGAGGATCGCCTTTGCGCAGCTTGCCTCGGATCCAAGAGCGCGAAGCGCGGGCCCGCCTATGCCAGGTGGGAGAGTGCCGATGCTGCCTGATTTCCAGGGTCGGCGGACGCACCTCTTAGGGTGCTGGGGCAGAAGTGTTCCAGCTCTTGCTGGCGATCTTGAGCCCTCAAGGGACTAGACTAGAGATTAGACTTCCGGCACTGCGGACACCTGTGGAGTCCTGTGGAGCTTCCGCCCTTTCCGCCGCAGGCCTCCGTGCGGGCACGTACGCTGGCCACGCTGCGTTCCGCAAGCCAGCTTCCGGACAGCGAGATGATGAGATGCTGGTGACACGTGTCCTTACCTGTTCCGAAGGGAATCAATCTTCATTTTCTGCTGCTACTGGTAGGACTTGCAGCCAAAGAAGTGGCCCAGCGGAGAAACAAGTGCCATGCCAAGAAGCGGAGTTGCTTGTAGACTTGGAGGTTCAGAAATGTTCAGGATATTGCAAGATTCGCTCCGTGGAAGCACGAGCTTTCAGGCATGAAAACATGTTTCCGCTGTTGCCTGTACAGGACCAACGCCTTGCAATGTTGTCCGTCTGACACAGCAGGGTGCCGATTCGGAATCACGATTCAGGTTCGAGGGTTAAATGCATATGAAAATCATGAAAGCGCGCCTTCTTTCTCCAGGCTATGCCAACATCAATTCCCCAAGAACATCGTGGCACGTGCAATCACAGAATAAGGCGAGATCATTGGTCAGAACAGATGCCGTGCCATGCAGCGTGTAATCCCACATCCACACGCGGGTGTTATCCTTTTTTCTCTTTGCAAACTCACGAAATGACAGCCCTCGTTCACTGGCACTGCTCCGCTCAGGTCAAGACTCATCCGGGCAGCCCTTCACATTACAGCGGCTCTGCTTTGACCATGTTTGGTGGAAGAGTGAAATCATCGTGGCATTCGCTGTGGAATTGCGTTGAAAAGTGAAGGCCTGTCAGCAGCTGGTCCGACAACCGGCAACACTACCTTCCCGTCAGGTGGTCAAATCCGGCGGTGCTGCTCATTCGAGCGACGTGTCAGCATGCTACTTGTAGGATTCCTCCACATCCAAACGGACCATTTTGATATGCATTGCCGCATTGCTGTATGCACGCTATTGGCAGTTAGCGTAATGCTGCAAAAGCAAACCTTCGTCAAGCTAGAAAGTCATAAAACCCAAGCACTAGCATTAGTTCGCAACGTCGGCTTGCCTTGAAGCCTCCAGGTCCAATTCACTGAATCTGCCCCGGTGGCTGCACTTGCGCTCCAAGGGACTCTCCGTTGGCAACTTGAGAAGCTACCACCTGGTCTAGAGTCTAGAGTTGTCCGAGCAGCACTCACCTGACATTTTTTCGTCTGATTTGCACTGGCCTTTTCACAAGACACTCAGTTAGCTGCCGGTCTCCGCATGCCTTCTGCTTCTCATTCTCACCGTATAGGGAAGGTCGGAAGGCTGGCACCAGATTGCTTGCCGAGAGTATACAGACGGCCGCCACTCCCTCCGCGACCACCCACAACCCCCACCACCACATACCACCACCACATACCACCACCACCTACCACCCCCACATGCCACCACAAACCACCACCACATGCCGCCACCACATGCCACCACCACATACCACCACCACACACCACACCACCACCACCACCACCACCACCACCACCACCACCACCACCACCACCACCACCAGCACTGCTGCTGCTACTGCTACTCCGACGACGACGCCGACGACGACACAAGCCGATTAAGTAGGTTGCCATGCATTAAACCTGTTTGTTTGTCAAGCGGTCAAACATCAGGAGTTGCATCTTTGCGAAGCTGGATCCCGATCTCCAGCTGGAGGCAGAGATTTGTCTCATCGCTTCTGACACTCCACTGCGACGACTTCTAGGGAACGGATCACCGCTGTGCGTTGTGCTGCAGCGGACAGTGACCGCAGCGAGAAGCACGTGTTGAAGGTTTTCATGCTAACACACCAGTGTCAACACTTGGACCTAGAACACCCCATCCATGCGCTCCATTGAAGGTCTCTTGCCGGTCAGTGGACATCGAGGAACAGCAGCTGTTTGTAGGTTTGGAAGGAAGGCTGGGATTCAGGCTCGAACGCTTGCTCTAAAGACTATGCTTGCATGTACAGCCGTCCAGGCAGTAAACATTACCTGCACGTCCGTGCTTGTATTTGGTACGTACTCTAGCTCGCAGGTTGCGACAGATCCAGCAGCAAATCCTGCCAGGATCTGCGTTTACGATCACAGAACGCAGACAAATCAGTGGCTCTTATGCAAGCAGATGAAGCAAGAAGACGATTGGAGTCGATAGTTTAAACATGCGCAAGCCTCAGTTGGGTGCAGTGGCGAGACTGAGAAGGGTGCAGCATCGGAAATCTGGTCAAGTAGATTCGGCAGGAGCGAGCAAGGGCCGATTTTCGGCAGCGTTCCTGACAATGTGGGCATTTCTGATTTCTGGTAGTTGACTTTCTACACAGGTTCTCTGCGGAAGCTCCTTCGTCCTTGCCTGGCGCAGTGAGGTAGCATGGGGAGATAAAGTTTATGCTTTATTGGGTTTGCCTTTGAAGCCTTCATGCAAACTCTGAATGTCGCGGCGCTTCGCGAAGTGAGTTCGCCGGCACAAGCTTAAAATGCGAAGACACTTCCCATACTGCAGTCCCACGAGTCGAGCCAGAAGTTGGATTGACATGTTCGCACTGGAGTTAAGCCACTTGTGCGAGGCAGGCCAGCGGTCGGCACTGTCGATCCGGCTGAACCGAGCCACGTTACAGGCCAGGCCGAAGCTTTGGAGCGCTGTCGCTCTCGTGCGGCTTGCGAGAGGTGCTGCCAATGCTGTTTGCGGACCTGGCCCCCTGGTCTGGAAATTGGCAGACTTTGGCAGAGCAGGGGCTATGCATGGCTTGGAAAACCCGCTGAGGCCACCTGGGGCGTTTCGGCTTGGCGACTCTGCGCTTGGGCCCAGTGCCCTCCCGAACCCGAGCAGAGGCCAGCGAAGTCCGTATGGAGCGCTTGAAGGGTATGGAAGGAAAGAGCCCCGAATTATCTTGAACTGGTCTTTTAGGCTGCCCTGGGACCTTTCTGAGCTGCGCCCGCTGGGCGTGGCCAGTCTGCTGATCGAGGCCGAGCCAACCCACCTGCGAGTCTGCCCATGCGCTGCTTACTTACGATCTTGCAGTCAAGGGCGGCTGGCAACTGCAGGTCGAGCTGCAATCTGCATCGTTTCGCTTGCCGACAGCTTGGTCAGCGCAGCAGGCAGCTGACTGCTGAGCTTCGACACTGAGAGTCCGAGAGAGTCCAGAAGAGCAACAGAATCTCCATGGCCGTGTAGGAAATCTGCAACTGGCTTTCACTGCAGTCTGCAGCTTCGAAGGACTACTTTGAGTTCTGCGGGAGCCCGCGAGAGAACGGTGCCGTCTTCTCGGCATCGCTGCTTAGTTGTGAGGCAGTCCACGGGTCCAAGTCTTGCAGCTCCCGCATCGGTAGCTTTGCAAGGTTTCTGTTTGGATATCAGACAAAGCTCTGCCACGCGTGCCCCGTTCCTGTACAGGCCGGCCTCGAGTTGACTCGCATCGCCTTGGAGAGCTGCAAAGTACAGCGTTGCGATGCACAAGTGCCGAGTGCAGTGCTCCGTGGCTTCGACACGCGAGATGTCATCTGTTGGAGACACGGTCCCCTGTGTGATATTTCCGCCGATGGGTTGGTCCCGTTCGCTTCGTTTCCCTTCTTGTCGTCGTCCCAGGCTGTGCAGCGACTTCGGCCTTTCTGCAGCCGGTCGAACCTGGAATTTGGCGCCAAGAAGAAGCGGGCTGATCCTGAGGCACGATGGTCGCACCGCACGTCTTTGTCACATCTTGGCATCTGCCTGCATGGCAACCAGTGGCGGAGCTTCTGTGCCTCAGAATATCAGGCCCGTCGAACTGCAGCCTTTCGACCTTCGCATTTCGACGCAGGACATCGGCACGGAGCCGAGTCCAGAATAGCAGGTACCGAGCTGCGACACCAATCTCCCAGGTGCCCTCCTTGCAGCTGCCAGCTCGCTAGCAAGTGCCGAAGCACCCAGCGCAGAGCCCATCGAGGCCGAGGGATTTCGGGAGACGCTCGGTGACGCTCGCGATACTTTGGTGGCTGTTTTTCAATTTCAGATTCAGGAGCTGCTCCTCCGTGACCCTCATGCACCGACAGCCCCCACGTCTTGGTGTCCGGGCCCCAGCGGCCGCCCGCTCTGCCCTGAAAGCCTCCCGAGCCTTGCAGGCTTGGAGTTGGACGGCATGGTCGGGAGAGGAGAAGGAAGTCGCACGCGACTTGACATCATTAGCTCAGTACTAAGAAACACCCTTGATCACATGCACGACCAGAGGAGTGCCACAGTGTGACGATGTGGATTGATGTGAGTGCTTTGAGGAAGCAAGTCATCGACTTGCAAATCCTGGATGGTCGCCGGCCTTGAACGGAGTTGCCACGAATTCGTTCTGTTCAGATGACTGCTTTCTGCAAAGCCAGGAATTCACACAAGGCTGCATGGTGCTCTCATGTTTGGCGTCCTTAAAGCGCAGCTCCAAGATCGCCAGCCGGGCAAGCTTCTCGACGTCCGGATCGGCCTGCCATCGATTCACGCGGAGTCTGGGCTTTTCGTCTTCGATGCTGCTGGCTGAAGCTAAAGCATGAAAGCTTTCATTGAGACGTCCAGTTGACCCCAGTGTCATTCCAGTGTAGCCGTCCGCCTGACGTGTAGCATGCAACTCAGGAGATTCGGACTGCAACTGGTCAAGCCGCAAGCCTGCTTCTCCGTGCCCTGGCATTGACAAAGGACAATGTGTCAGGTCAGATTTTGCTCTGAGGACGTTCTGGGCTTTTGCAGAAAGTTCGGATAGGCGTGCTTGCTGTAAGCACAGTCCCTGCCTGGCAGGCACCCAGATGCTCGAGCTGGAGGCTGTTGAGGGCATTAGTGATGCTGCGACAAATGTGACAATTGCATGCTAGTCAGGTGGAGTCCTACAATCGCAACCTCCGTGTCATGGAGCCAGTGGTGCTTCCGATCAGTGGCCTGGTGCAGAGCATCTAGACCGGCATGACGCACAGCTCTTGGCTTTCAACTCAGGATTGGACGCCGAATACGAAGTACTGCAGGGTACATCCTCCTTCCGCGTGAGCTCCAGGCGGTGGGATTTGGAATGCAGGTTGTGAGGTATTGGAGCCCAATCCAGACGGCAGTGCTTTGGATCGGCCCTTGTTCAAGAGCTGATTTTGCGGCGCATAGAGAAGTGACATTCAAGTTGGCTTGCAGAAGATCCGCGGCCGTGGTAACAATGTGATTCCTTCCGCGACGAGCTCAGATTGTTTCAAGTTGGTCTCCCAGCCACGGCAGGGAGAAGCTGCATTTGGTGATCACTCCGACCTTCATTCGCTTGGTGATGTCACTTGGCGCGAACCACCAGTGCTTGGTTATCGCATAGTCCAGCTACGGCATGAGGCGACGGAGTTTTGCGGTTGAAGAGTCTAACGGTAAAGGCGCGGAAGGTTTGTGGCGCAGGATGGTGCAGGGTTGTCTGGAGTTGATTGAAGTCCAAGGCAGCTTCAGGATGAGCTTGCTGCAGATGTACCGACGGCGCAGCGGCAGTCAGCCGCACGTTGCAAGTTGGTCCAGGAAGAGTCTGTCGTTCGATTTCGTTCGTATCTGCATGCGACAATTGGGGCAGCGAGAATTCCTGAAACCACTGTACCTAGCAGCATTGCACATACTGCAAGATGTCCTTCCCTGCATGTGTGCCATCTGAGGCATACTTGCCGCTGCTCAGATGAACAATAGAGATGGGCAGAGTCAGAGGGGACGGTCTTTCATTGCCTTTCATATTCAAGACTGTTTATATAGCTGCATCGTAACACAGGCGAAGGCTCTCCGAGGATTGTCCTCCAACTACCTCCAACTTGTCCGAAAATTGGCGGCCGTAAAATCGGACATGTCATTGTCATGTGACTGGCCAGAGCGCAGCCTCATGACGCCCCTGATGCTGCTAGTCAGCTATCCACACTGGGTTCTAAAGCTTGTAGGTGCATTGTCGCTCTTGAAAATCTCTAGGTCTTTAAAGACCTTAGAGGTTTTGTCGATCCGCAACGTACTGAGGCTGATTACAGGATTGAACCTGACTGGCACCGCCTGCCAGGCGCGGGTCCTGCAAAGCCTGCAAAGCGTCCGTGTGCCCTGCGTCATCCTGCGCCTGAGTGACGAGGTCGCAGCAGGATCTACATGCATCCGACTTCCAGCAGCCAAGGAGGCACATTGACAGTGACAGCAACACTACGGGTCCCTACAGGTCTCGTCGTCTGCACCCGTCCCCATCTCAGCTAACATCTGCCATCATCTGCAAGGTGCCGCTCGATGCACTCCTCTCCGAGGACCTTTGCTGCGTCTGCACATTTGCCGGCGTGTCGTCTGGGCACAGCGCAGGACAGAGCGGAGCTGCGAAGCCTGGGAGACCCGGCACTGCCGCTGAGGCGGGGCCCGGCCCGGGACTGGCTGAAGCTGTTCCGAGCGAATTTCCGGCTGCTTAGCTTCCAGAACGTGATGTGAAAAAGCAAGTTATAGCAAGCTTTATAGCAAGTTGGATTCGTCTTCTGGGTCTTCGCGGCTGCCTTGCGGGGGAGGCTTCATCTAAGCCGGCGCCTGAATGCTTCCTTCATGGCAGAGCCCCGCCTTCCAGCTGCAGAGGATTTACTTTCTCGGGGCTTAGTTGAAAGCAAGACCGCAAGACTGCAGCGCATATATATATATATATATATTAACATACAGTGTATATATATATATATATCAATATAGGTCCACTCATGACTGAAGTTGTTTTTGCTGTGAGTCTGTTTCATGAACTGAATACGGCAAGCACAGGAGAATTTACCGATCCATCAAGCAGCTATGCAGCATATAAAGCCTCAATTCATTATGAGTCAAAGGCTCCTGGCAGTGCGGCGATGCGGAGCTCATCGCTCAGCTGGGCCAGAGCCACTTGACTGCCTTGAGAAAATGCTCGGGTGAAAGCATTGCATCAGATTCGAAGCCAAAAACTTCAAATTCAATGGCGCAGACACTGCGGTTCCGCGTCTCTGCGGTCAAAATCCCTTTGCCAAGACCCCGCTGCATCCATGGGACAGCGTCTCCTCGTCACTTCCAGGCAGGGAGAGACAGACGACGGAGACGTTTCTTGCTGTGTTCTCGCCCTTGCAGGGTTTGCTTCGCGAACTTGACGGATGTGACACTTCAATGGCGCTTGCTTAGGCTCGCGCCAGAGTGCAGGGCATCGCTGTGCGAGAGTCCTGTGCCTCGCACCTCCGAGTTCCCATTTGAGAGGCCAGGATCGTACAGCAGATTCTCGGACCATGCGCCTGAGAATGGCGAGGTCATGGAGGCACTTAACAGATATGCATATTAAAAATTAGCAGATGCCGTCGTCCCCAGCTGCTCTCCTTGCAGTTAAGTCGACAGTTTTAATTGTAAAACGCTTCGCGTGGTACGCATCGGCATGGCCGCAAGTGAAGAGGGCCGATTCCCCTGTAGAGTGTTTTTCGTTCGTTAACCCCGCCTTCTGAGCTGACAAGAACTGTAGTGTCGAGGTTTTAGCTGCGATGAGATTGGGCCCACTGCATGAGCAAATCTTGGAATAAAAACGCCTGCCGATCCTTGTCGAAAGTTCTGTAATTTATCCTGTTCTGTAGCAATCACGTAGGAAGCTGTTTCGGAGGCGGTCCTTAGATGAGTAAGAGCGGCATGAGATTTTACCATCGTGCCTTGGGGCCGGTCAATGGGTTCGCAGGCTGGGGTGGAGTCACCGGGATGGGGGTTAAGAGGAAGGAGACAGGGGGTTAACCTCTGACCGCTTCGGCCGGGCCGAGGCGAATCTACCGTAGATAGCGCGGAGGCTGTTGCATGGCTTTGGAAGTGGGAAGGTCCCGCAGCCGCTGCCGGTGGCTGCCTCTTGCTTGGGTTTTCCTGAGGGCGCGGGCGCGAAGCCAGGCCAACGAGCAAACTCCTCGCAGCAAGTACCACTCCGACGATGCAGGAGTGCTTCGCCTGCTTCGCTGTTGAAAGGCGACGGAGACGGTGACTGCCTGGGGGCAAGGCTGCGACCCGGGGAGCATGAATGAATTGAGGATCCAAAAAGCATGAGAGGTTGCTGTCGCCAGAAGCGTGGAGATCCGACTGCGAAGCCCTGCTAAAAGGCAAGCGGTGTCTCTGCCGCAGACCGCGCTGGCTGCAGCGCCTTCGGGCTCGATGCCTCTTGGCCGTGATTGGGATCTCATCGCGAAGAGCCAAGTGCGGCGGTGCCGCGGTCTTGCCAGGCCCTTGGCTCTTCTGCAGGTTCGGCCAGCGAGCCCAGCAGGCGCAGACGGCACACGGCAGACGAGATCACGCGAGTCATTATCATGGCTAGGGGCCTGAGGGCATGTCTTGACTTTCTAGGTCACAGACCGAGGGTTCATCGCAAACGACGCACATGCAAGAGATCGCCAAGTCCGCTCGTTTAAACAAGCAGCATTCCAAATTCTAGTGCGTCGCACGCGCTGCAGAGACGCCAGGGGCTCTGCCCGCAGAGACGTTCACATGGAGCGAGCCGGTTCCTGTCTTCTTGCGCAGCTTCTTGGCCTGTGCATAGATCTAAACTTTTCAACCGTAGAAGCCTGCTGAGCATGCTGTCCATGCCGAAATGGGTTCGAAACAACTCAGATGTCAAAGCAATTCAGACGTCAAGCAAGTTTCTCTTACATAGTTCAGCTGAGCCCTAAATCAAGCGCACATTGTTATATTATAGCTGACCCTAAAGCGTTAGGAGGAAGCGAGACATGCCCCAGAGCGTTCTCAGGACACCCTGAGCCTGTCGCAGCTCGACTAATGGTGGCGACACTGGCACGAACATGGGTGCTAGTTGTGAAATCGTTGTGAACCTTTGCGCTTTGCGGGGGCAATTGAAGCACTGCAAAGGGGCTGTTTCTGAGCAGCTTTAGAAAGCAGTTGGACGATGCACAGATCCATGCGAAAGCCTCGCTGCCCTGCTTCGTACGCGTGACAGTCCACGGTACCAGGAAAGACTCTGTGACGTCACCTCTGGGAGATCCCACGGTATGTGCCTTCACGTGACTAGGTCACTAGGTCACCAGGACACACGGACGGGCAATGGCCTCGAAAGGAGAGCCTTCTCGCGTCGCTCTCTGGTGTCGGGGTAGCAGACCGTGACGCCTAACTCCAGGTGCAGTGGAGTAGTGGCTTTCGAGAAGTCGGATTTCTCACGGCCAGCCCTGCTTGGGTCCACACTGACAATTCTAAGGTACCTGGGCGCCGAAGGAGCACCCGAAGTAGTGCCGAAAGCTGAGCCTGATCTCGTTTCTTTGCGGAGGAGTTGCCTTGATCAGGCCCCATAAGACTCCTGCCACCAGTAGGCAGAGGACGCCAACTTGAACCGAAAATAAGGTACAGAATCGCGTGAGGGGCTGCATGAATCTAGTTCGATCCACAAACCGTGACCACGCGTTGCTCTTGCGGCAGGTTACAAGCACAGAGTCCGGACAGGGGGATGGGGACCTGTTGCCCGTCTGCACTGGAGCTTCGGACTTCTAGATAGGGGAGTTTCAGAAAATTAGGGTACCTTATTTTGGGGTCCTTATAATAGGGATCCTACTATTTAGGGTACTATATTAGGGTCCCTATTTTCGGAAACCCCCACAGAGGAAATTGGATATCGCTCTCCTGCATCGTGTGTGGCCCTGAAGTCCCAGGTTTCGGCGCTGCCAAAACGCGTCAGGCAGCTGTCCCTTGAGATTCCGTCTCGTGGAGGTGCCATGTGCAACACAAGAGTTCTGTAACTCCTATACATGATTTCTTAAGCGGTTACGGTCGTGTTGCCAGGAGCTGATCAAGTCTCAAAATGCTGTACAGTCGAATTCTTTGGCTTAGCCGGAGTCTCGCAAAAGTTTTTTTTTCAGCCTTGTGGTATGCGTGATCATGGTTCCACGATGGTTCGGCATGGTTCGGCAGGATGCTGATCCAGATGGACTCTTGAGACTTTGCGGGATACTTTGGTGTGAATGCCTTTTCTTTGCGTTTGGCAGGCGCTCTGTATTGTTACCTGCGTGACGAATTTCGCAGGAGGGCGGCCGGCAGACGCTTTGTGCAGAGCCGCCACTGCGACTGCGCAACGGCTGCCCCGTGCCGCCACCCGGCCGTCACGAGAAGCCAACAAGACTGAACTTCGTGATTGTCGATTGCTCTCTCATGTTCCGTGTCTCTGCAACGTGACATATTCATGCATTGTAGGAGAGGAAGCTCAGCCGAGGCTCTTGCTTACCTTCGAGCCAGAGCTTCACCGCGAGGCGCAGATTCCGGAAAAATTCGCACGATGAGCTTGAGGAAGATTAACTAGTAAAGCGAGAGCCAAGAACCCTCGAACCGAACCGTTTTGCCTCTCAGCAGGAGCTGGAGACCATTCCAGCAGGAGCGGTGCGCGTCGGCACTTCGGCAAGATTTTGTCGTGTTATTTCTGGTTGGTGTCTTGTAGGACTTAAGACTTGTGCTACTGTATCCCGTACTTTTAGCTCTGCTCTGCGATCCGATAACATTGTCTACTGTAGCAAATGAATACAATAGGAGGCTCAAGTTTTGGTTCCTGATGACGGTGCTGATGATGGACCTGGGCAGTGCGAAGAGCTTCCTACATTGCCCAGGTGCCCTGGCGAAAATTTTCGATGGGTTGGGCGGATTCCTGGCAGTGGCCATCGCTGCCGCTGGTGATGCTGCAGATGCTGAGCTGGGCGGTGGCGGTGTCGTGGCTCGTGCCGAATGAAGGGTGAGCAAGGGCGCCCGAGAGGTTACAAGGCTTGGATGCGGAATGGCTTGGGCAGGCGTGTTTGGCCATGATTTTACATTTGCAGGTCCCCAAAGTAAAAGAGCTCGCCTCCCAGCGCCGTGTCGCCAAGGAGCTCTGTCCTGTCCGTGCAGATTCGCCTGCGGCTCAGCGAAGTCACGCATCCGCAGCCTTTCGTGCCCTAGATATTTGGATCGGTGTGCATCTGTCGATCCAGGACATGACAGGACCATATGCAAAAGCTTCTGTGTTCCGTTTCTAAGTGGCTGCGGTTTGAGCAAAGTCGGGGATGGCCCCGCAGAAGTTGCGGGTGGCCTTCGTTCGGTAACCGAATCTACACAGCTTCGCCGCACGTTGCAAGGAACGGCTTTCTGTGGTGGGAACTGGATGGCTCTCTCCGGCACATCGTCCTACCACAGGCATCACACGCAGGAATCTTCGTCGCGTTATCAGGTGTAGCTTAGTTTGCCCAGTCGACATCTTGACGCAAGTATACTCCTGCAGTATTGTTGTCCGGCGCACGTAGCATCGCATTGTTACACGGCTTGAGCTGACATTGTATGCAGATGTACGGGCTCCGAGGATTAATTTACCCCCCTTACCCCCCCCCATTGAACCCTCCTGCCAAACATAAAACTGAATTATTATGGTTTTCTAGAATTAGGGTGTCTGTTGTTGCATCTTCATTTATGTCCCGCTGGACATATTCGAAACTCTTCCTTAGCAGGCCGCACTCCGTGCAGTCCTACGTTCCTGCGGTTGCTGTAACCTGCACTTCCCGGGCAATGCATGCAGTCCTACATTCCGACGGACCTTGCTGCAGTTAACCCAACTCATAGGTTCTAGTATGCACCCACCCTTGCGATCGTAAGGTTTCGGACGCTGGCATAGTCCCTAAACCTAAACTCTGAGAGAGAAAGGAACTCCGTTCACACGTTCTGGCACCCACTCGCTCTTGCAATCGTGAGGGTTCGGACGATGTGTTAATCCCCAATCCTTATACCTAAACTCTGCGAGAGACAGGAGAGAGAGTTAGCTTCGATACAGTGATCGGTCCTCACCCTCTACCCTGGAAGGATCCCAAGCGTCTCCCTAGTGGACCTAGTATCCCGAAATCCAAATCTCTTCTTGCCCTTTTAAACTCCTCTTCGGGTGCTTTCCGGACAAATGCACTTTCGGGATAAGGTTTGTATACTCGGGTGGCCTCTATGAGCTAGTCGTAGGAGGTGATTAGAAAGATGACCAGTTTGCAGGCTGACATTACCACTGGATGGTCAATGCTAAATCTTTCACATGGCTGCTGGTGATTGACAGGGCACAAACGCCGTGGAGCTGCGTCGTACAGAGGCCACGAGTGGCCTGAGCTGATAGCAAACGAGTTCGTGTGCTTGAGATTGAGACGACATTGAACGTTGGGGCACAAGTTTCGTGCATGGTATACAAGGGGCTACAGGACAGCTTACTCTTTCACAGGGTTCGTGCCTTTCGAGGCGGGTGTTGGCTTTCGCTGTCTCCGTGCAGCAGCGCTGCCGGGTCGAGGTTGCCAGGCCGGGGCAATCTCAGTTCACACTGTGAACGCCAGAGACTCTGGCACACTTGCACATGTAGTTCGACGTGCTTAGGGTAGTACCTGAAGAATCGTCTCCTGCAGAGTTCTTGTCTTTGACAGCAGCTTGTCTGGTCGCCGAAGTGACAGCAAAGTGCAAACAGGTGTTGCAGCTCGGCCCCCGAGAGCCACTCCCAATCTTCGAGTTGCCAATGGCACCGACAAGGTAGTGCTTGCAGTTGCAAAGTGGGCAAAGATATGAGCTGCGCGACTTGCCACAGGGGCCACAGGATTGGGAACCCATCCATCAGTTCTTGATCCAGACTACCAGATGATATTTGGAGTTGCCTGCGACAGAACTTGAGCTGCTTGCATGGCAGGGAAACACAGGCAAGGACGAGGCTTCCCTGCGAGGGCAAGTCACTGATGCAGGCTGTCAGTGGCTCTGATTGGCGTCGGGAACGAGCGATCGGAATGGAGTCTGCCACTGCGCTTACCATCCCTGATGTGCGCACTGTCTCGTTTGGTGGGCTTAAGCATCGTGCATCTGTTAGAGAGTTGCAGACATCGCCGGCAATTTTGCTGTCCTGCTGGCTTTCTCGCAACATCGATTGAGCATGACGGCAATCCTGAATTGGGCCAGTGATGGATTGTTCTGCAAAATCGCCAGGCAACAGGGTGAGTTGCCGGGACCTGACTTCACAGTCATCGTTGAGACCACACCGAACTCAAAAGAAGCTGTCGGTCTGTTCGGAAGCCATGGGTAATACGTGCTGGCTCCGTCACTATGCAAGTTGCTACGAAATCCCGCCGACCATCTGCTATCAACCCAGGCCCGTGCAGCGGTGGTCTTCGTCTTCTTTTGAGGCAGCTCGGATCCCTCTGCGCAACTGGAGACAACTATAGACCTGCATCGCCACGAGAGGTGCGATCGTGTCATCTTCCGGCGGAAGAAGTCTTAGAGGTGTGTCGGCCTTACCGGAGTAGAAGCGAAGATTCGCACGGGAGAGCTTGCTGAAGGAGAATTGGTTGCAGCGCAGGTCCCAATACATATAAGTACTCGTAGCGTTGCCACGTGGATCCCTCTGTCGCTTCTCTCCTTCTGTCAGAGTCAAGCCCAGAGCAAAGTTTTACGATTCTGATGCAAGAAGATAAGCTAGGAAAGCTTGCACCCTTCACCCGAAGGCCTTTACCAGTAGCTGTCGCAGTTCTCCTTCTGCATTAGATCTGTAAGAGTGGGGATTCTACCAGACCTATGCCTGTGCATCGACTTTGGCAGCCCGATCGAAGACATCGGCACCGAAAGGGATCACACTCGCCACTCACTTGGACCTTTTGCTCAGGCGCTGGGCTCGAGCAATCTTCCCGCTGATTGCGCGGCGAAGTGCTCCTGAAACCGACGCTAGTCAGCGATGTAATTGCATCTGCACAGGCCACGTGAAGACTTCAGGGCTGGGCCTGGGGCAAGTACGGTCTGCACACTGCTCTTCGCCCCAGGAAGTGGTGATCGGAGCTCGACGATGGTGCTCTTCTTGGGGCAAGTCTTGAACTTTACAGAGCAATAGCAATTGCCAGATGTCGCCCCGTACTCGAAAGATGCCGTCAGGTTTGTGAACAGCACAACCCTCCCCATCCAGCTCACGCTGCCGGACTGGGTGGATCAGTATCGAGTTGCAAATGCAACATAGGGCAAACGGCATCTTGTTAGCAATGCTGTGCTTCTGGAACAGCTGCCTGCATTTGAGATTCCTGTTTGCGTATGTGATGTCCGCTCACTCTTCTGCTATATTTTTTATGATGCTAGGGACCTTGGCTTTCGGCATGTAGGACCCAGGCCACGAACTGACCACGCCACCCATTGGCTCGCCAGATTTTTTCCGAAGAAAAAGCACAGCTCTGTCGCTGAAAGCGAGGATGGATCGGCGCTGCCGCATCTGACTGCAGGTGCCCGGCCCGGTCTGAGGCTGTGCCTGATCGCCAGCCGGCTCAGTCTAGACAACTGCACAAACTGACAGCCGGTAGGTTTTCTCAACATAACTGTGCAGGAAGGCTTTTTGGAAGTTACATGAGCTCCGCATGGTGCTTAAGACATGCTGCCATTACCTTCAGGTGCGACACTTCTAGCACATCCTCTTCACGAGGTGCACAGTTCATTGCATGATCCGTCCTCACTCGTTTTGGAGAGTATCTAGTCGCCACGCGTTCAGGTATGTGTGCATTCAGACTGAGTTTCGAAGAGTGCTTCAGCATAAGACACAGGGAGAAGCAAGTTGCAAGGGAGTATTGGACTCGTGGCAGCAGCATTTCTTTCTGCGAGGCCGATGCTGCAGAGGCAGAAGATCCAAAACAGCTGCGCTGCACTTGCAGTGACCAGACTTAGACCGCTTGACGTACCGAGCTGTAGTGTCTGCAGCATTGCGATCACTGTGTTGTGGCAGGCACAAAGCTGCCTGCAGAGGCACTGCAGAGCAAGCTGTGTCGGGCCACCCCGAAATGCAGGGCGATATTCTCTGGCTTAAGAAGCATGAGTCCCACGAATTGGTCGATCTGGACGGGGAGTTGGGTGGAGATGGTATCGAGTGGCCCGGTCTTGTGGCCCTCTTGTCCTCTAGTTCGTTGCTCATTTCAATTTTTCGCTCCTCTAGAATTGCATGTAGTGTGGACCTCGTCAGCGCTTTATTCATGAATAACTCGGGGGGAACCACAACCAGCAAACAACTAAACAAATCTTCCACAACAGAGGGAAAGCCGTACATGGCTTCTATAGTGTAGGAGCAACTCGGAGGTGAAACTGCAATTGCAGCAACATCCAACATGTCTTGCATAAGACGCAGGGCAAACTGTATGCGTCTTGTGCTTACGAGAAATTTCGGTGGTGGAGCTAAACAGTGGAATGCCAAGCTTTTCGCCGGCAGCGAAAACACAACACAAGAACAAGCTGCTGGCATCTTCGACGAGCATGAGCAACACGGGGCTGAAATAAAGTATAACGAAGAAACAAAATATAGCACATGTCGTCTAGAGCGACGGCACGGTGCAACGAGTAAACTTACGAACTTCTTCTGTTTATGAAGGACGCGGGGGTGAAGATGAAATATTGAAGTTCGGAGCGGGCACAGAGGGCACCTCCAAGAAGTTTGTGGTACCTGGCCAGGTTAGGAAGGATGCATCTTGCAGTGTCACTGCTGCCATGGGCTGGATGTCCGGTACTGTGTCATGGGAAAGCCGTCGCTTCAGCCTCGCTGTATTGATCTTGGACATTTCCAGAAATGCTTCGAGATGCAGTATTAGTAGAAGCATCCCGTACATGCATCTTTCGAAGCTAGTCAACTGCGTGATAAACTGACGCCCCGGAGGGTCTGCGGCCTCCGTGGATCAGGCGCAGCTGTGCAAGGCCATGCAGGTGTCAAGGCAAGAGCTAGCCCTCCACAATGCTCGCACAGGGCTTACAATTGGCACCGCGACGCACCGTGGCACATATGTCTCTTGTTATCTCTTATGCTTGGCCAGATCCGGATCTCAGCTCCACCATCTCCTTAGCCTTCGGACGCGACTGTGTCAAAGTCCAGCTGCCAGGCGCGGAGAAGACCAGAGCTAGGCTAGGCTTTCTGTGGTTCTGGTGGAGAATGTAGCATTTCTGTCCACCGGCTCGGTTTGGCGAGGCGCTGGTGGCTTCGAGGATGTGTGCTTCCCCAGCGGAGAGGTGTGCAGCCTAATTGCAAGGCTAGTGCAGCCAGGACTTGTTTGCCGACCCGACAGACACGCGATTGAGGATCTGAAACGTTGCAGCTACTTGGTGATTCACTAGGAGTAAAGGAACATTGCTTCCCTTCAATCATTCACGTGCAGACGATATGCGCAGTTTTGGGTCCAGCAGAGTCTTGTTCTGCATGATCTCTGGTATGACACGGGACGAGCCGTTTATGTTCAGCATACGGCTCGCAAAGCTTTGAATCAAAGGTGCACCCAGTCTTGGCCCTCCATTTGGACAACACCTGCAAATCCGCTTGGATTTTCGAGCGCAGGACTGCGTCCTACGTGAAGAGGGCATAGCGCTCGCCATGACATTCGGGCTGGTCGCCGGCTCAATGCCAAGTAGTGTTGCATGTGCTTTGTTCCTGGGCAAATGACCTCGTGTTGGTTGCAAGAGCTGCGTGTTTCCAAGAGAGGTTGGACGGTTGTGCTGCTCCGGGAAAGGCTGCAAAGTGAGCCGCACTCACTCGAAAAATCTAGCAGATGCCTGCTGAGGATTGCAGCCTTGTCTCTCTGGTGCCAGCGCTAGTTGTCTTCAACTGCTCGTCACAGCAGGCTGAGTTGGAGGGTTTGGTTCGACTGTTCGGGGCAGGTTCTCTGTCGCTTCTGAGAAGCATATGTTCATCTTTCGTGACCTTGCTCCGATCCAGTGTGCATGAATTTCGCCATGCAAGTAAGTCTGTTTTTCCGAATCCACTGACTCTGCGAGGTTGGATTTTTATGGTATGGGCAGGCTGGACTGTGCGGCATGGTGCAGTGGTATGCAACACGAAGATTCCAAGCAAAGACGTGAGGCTGCCCTCTGTGCACCAGCACGACACGCACGCTCTGGGGAAGGCCTTTGCCAACACAGCTACAAGCAAACAAGCAGCTGACAGGCGCCTGCCCAAGCCGAATGGCTCAATGCGGGCCAGCGCTACTTGGCTCGCACCGTACGCCGTGGTTGGGCCATCCAGCAGTTAATCGTTGGCACCCACAATATGGTGGCTGTTTTCGCATGTTACAGGCAGAATGAAGCAATACAACTGTGATACATGTGTCGGCATGCATGGTGTTATGTCCAAAGCTTCGGCCAGCACTGACCCCTCACGGATGCTTTAGCCGCTCACACAACGCTTGCCTGCCTTTGGTGCGGCCTGCTTGATCCTATTTGCCGTGAGGCATCGGAACCATGAGTCTTTCGACTTAGACTTGCCGCATACTGGTGTGAGGTCTGGCTCTTTGTCGTTTCTGCAATACCCCGGGCAGGCAAAGCGCTGCGCGTGCCCATGGAGCTAAGCGAGGAAAGTGCATCGCTCGGACATGAATGATTTCTATGCGGTCAGAATCAGAGCACGCCCCAGGCAGGCAAGGCGCAGAGACTATTTTCTCCGACTTGCTACAGTCGCCTGACGTCGGCTCTTGTGTTCGGTGCCTATGAGGCAGCCGCAGCCTGCTGCTGCCGGTGGCCAGGGACGCCGCACCCGAGCGGCCAAAGTTACAGGCGGAAGAGCCCACATGCAGGTCCTTCACATGTTTACTGTTTACATGTGCTTCAAGCCGAGGCATCCGCCGTCCCCAAAACTTGCGCGAGAAAGGGACTGCCCCTCGTCTCATGAGCCAATGTGCGGACAGGTCCTGGTCAATGCGAAGCATGACGAGCTGCTGATTTCGCCTCCCTTCGCAGTCGATCGTGCTGCTGCAGGCTTCCTGACAGATTCTGAAAGTATGAAAGCTCCCTCCTGGTTTTGTTTCCATACACACTGCTAGGTCTGCTAGGTTTTCTTGAATGCAGGCTGCAGTGCCGCCATGTCACTGCCCTCCTCTGCCCGCCCGGAACTATGCCGGGTGGCCGTCGACGAGGCATTCATGGAAGCAGCATGTCCAGCCAAATCGAAAGCCACCAAAAAGTGGCTCACAGTCTCACAGTTGTCAATCGCTTGGCTGGCTCGGCAGGCCTTTGGGGCTGTCGCTGTATCCGTAGCCGGCCGAGAGCGCTGCCACCGGCTGACCTGTGAGGAGGGTTTGGAGGCCAAACTCTCTGAGACGACCTACCGTATCATGGGAACATATGGGAACAATGGAACAAGGCTTATCTTCGCAAAGCATAGCACATTGTCCATCTGGAATCGCGAAATGCAACCAGAGGGTCCTACAAGCATCGCTCATCCCCCCTAGCCAGCCTCTAACCTTGCAGCTGCAGGGGAAAACCGTGGGAAAACCGACACCCGCCTGAAGTTCCGTGGACCGCTCGTAAGCTTCCGTGTCCTTTTAGAGCCATGCGGGTAAAGCGCAGAAGCACAGGCTTATGTTGACACGGCCCCGGCCGATGTAGCGCGCAGCGGTGGCAGCATTTATTTCGGTGTGGCCGAGTGACCTGGCAGCAAGCCCAACTACCGTACCGCATCTGCTTCAACGATTCGTCGTGAACCCTGAGAAGTATGGGCATGCGGCCTTGGGGCTTACAGCTGGTGCGGATTGCCTTCTGCAAGCTTGTGAAGGAGACTTGTACTCTTGGAAACCTGCACCAGATTCAGGCCATTTGAAAGCTCGCCCTCTGTCGTCCTGGTGTTGCAGAGACCGGGGTTCGGGGCCAAGCGAAGAGTTCGCACAGCACGATCACGAGACCACGGTAGCTCCTTGCCTTGGGCTACATGGTCATGAGATCTGTGCCATCGCGGCATCAGAATCCCTTACTGGGCAGCCTTGCAGCTAAGGCCTGGCATAGCACGGGTTGACGTAGGTCTCAGTCGGAACAACACCCAGGCGCCGCATTGGGAGTCCAGACGCCTAGAGACCAGAGTGACTAGAGTCTATAGAGACGCTTAGAGTCTTAGAGCGGTGGAGAACGCACGGCAGAGCTCGCACTTGCGGGGCCGGCTGTTGGCTCGGTGCTTGCATCGATTCATGGTTCAGGCCATTCCTGCAACTTCGTCACTGGGGGTGCCGGCGCGAGTGGATGTCAGCGTCAAGGCACAAACAACTCAAGATGCAATTCTGCAAGGCTTGCAGGGAAGAACTACCCACAGAGCAGCAACACGCACTGATATGCTGCAATGCTATGCCATCCAGATCTTGTAAGGGACTTTGTCGTGCTAACGACACTTCCCGTCACTACCCGAGACAGAAAGAGTCCGAGAAGATGTTCGTCAGAGGGGCTGACTTGCCCCCACGTGAGGTTTTGGCATTCCGTTTTGGGATGATGTGCTGCAGTGCTGCATGATTCGTGCCAGAGCTACGCTGGTCAGGAGCATGTTGCGACGGTGTTTGTCTCTCTGGGCCATGGACGAGTGGACGAGGCAGGTCCCGGATACTCGCTGCCACCTGCTTCTATTATGTATATAATTGCAGCATTTTTTGGAGGAGGCTGCGCAGTCCGAGACGCTCCATGAGCTGCAGCTACTAGTCGGTGAGTGAGAGGGCCTGGGGAAGGCATCTAAGTGCTCGCAGATGCTGGACATGACCTCGGCCACTTGCAACACCCAGGCTTGGGGGCCTTACGCTCTCCCTGGCGGAAGCTCCTGGCCTGAAGGAGGCGTGGGGCTCAGCTGCTCAGCTTTGCCATTTCTTCCCTTACAGCCTTCTGGGAAAATTGTAAAATCCCACAGCAAAGTGCCGTTTCTGCAGGACAGGAGTCCAGTATGCAAAGAGTACATGTAAATGCCACAGAGTTCGTGCGCTGAGGGTCTGTTGATGGGTTACAGCCCCGAGACGATCTCTATCGCCTTGGACGGTTTCCAGGTGGGACTACGTAGTACTTGGAGCCTTAAAAGATCTTACAAGCCTCTAAGCCAAATCTATTGCAGGTGCGGTTGCGACGATTCGCCAACGATAGCGAAGAGGCTTTCAGAGTGAATTGCTTTGCTTGTCAAGCTCTCCTGCAGAATCGCAGATATCCGGAGACGGAGTGACATCCTCACTGCTGCGTGACAAGCCCACCCTGACAGTTCAAAATCCGCATCGACGCCGTGCAAGTGGACCTGCGCCCAAAGAAGGTCTCGTCCCTGGGAGATCTCGTCGAGTTCAGTTTCTCTTGGCCGGTAAGCCAGATTGCTTCTGCTTGCGAACTACAGTAACTGCAGGGAAGGAGGCACTGATTTGCTCAAACAGTGAAGTGGTGGTTACCACTGAGGTTTTTTTCTTTCGATTTGTCGAGTGGCAGGCGCGGGATCCCCAACCGCGGGTTCTCCTGGCCTCAATACCACGCCGAAGGGCGCTGCCCTTCCTCCGCTCCTCGGTGCTTGAATGTGTCTTCCAAAACACGGAATTCTGTTAGTCTTCAGCGTTCTGCGCATCATCGGGCAACAGCAGTGGAGTGCCGGGAGCAGCAGCATGATTTCGTTTTCTTCCGGAGCTGAGCCTTGTGAACAGGTCATCAATGCCTGTGTGCGTATGTGTGTGTGTGTGTGTGAGATGCACAAACAAAGGGAAGGCCAGTGTTGCCGTGTTTTTTACGGTCTCGGCGGACCGGTTGCATGGAATGGCCGCCAGAAAAGGGGGACGAAGCGTGTGCAGATAGCTTTCTCATGCAGGTCGCGCTCATTCCTTCAGTTATGGTCAGTTATGCTCCATAGGAAGCCACCGACCTCATGATTCTGTCGGAGTCGAAACAAGAAACACACTGAGACCAAGGCTGGAGCTCCCTGCGTCGTGCATGCAGCGATCCCGCGGAGTGGTGCCCGTGATATCCAGTGCTTGTTAGACGGGCTTAGGCTCGGGATCTTCTGAGCGGGGATTTTAAAGGATAACATCCGGAGATCTAGGGCGGCTTCGCGGGGCAAAGGCAAGCTTCGAGCAAGGACTGGTCATGCGTGCGATAGGCCTCCCTTCTCAGTGTGCAATTTGTCTCAGCCTCGAGTCTGCTTCCGTAAAATGAAACAGCCAATGTGTTGGAGTTCACACTGCTCACACTGCCTACACCCATGCCAGGCGCTTTGGTCTTTGTCGCCTCGATTTGGGTCCGGCAGAGGCTGTAAGTACAGCTGCTGGGTTTTGACGTGAAGAATCTAGAATCTAGCCGAGTTTTTGTCTTTAATAGTTTGTGGTTTATGGGCAGGAAACAGCTCGAAGAAAGCAAGAGCCTCTCCAATCATGCTTGAAGTTCATGGACGAGCAAGTCTCTGTCCCGTGACACTCCCTCGTCTTGCAGGTCACTGTGACAGAAGCGGTCTGGCAGGACACACCATTTCAGCGCCGGTCTGCACTAGCTCAGCCCCTGCAGATCTGCAGGAGGTCGGCCGCTTCCTCGACCAGGCCGCCTCTGGCCCCCGCGGACTGGGCCCGCAGGCGCCCCTACCCTCTGCCACAGGAATCAACGTTTCGTGAAGCTTCTTAAGCGAAGTCCGTTCTGTGAAATCCGGGAATGTCTGCACTCGACCCTTGATTCCCTTCGATACCGGCGATCTTTTTCATGGACCCTCATGCCGGACACCGCCAAAGCTTGCAGGAGGTGGCCGCGCGGGTTGGAAAGGCCAGCCACCGAAGCCAATTCGTCCATCTACGTTACATGTGTTAGCATATTTGATCTAGCACAAAGCAGCATCCATCTAGGTAAGGATGACTGCTCTGCAAGTGTGTGTGTGTGTGCACAAAGAATATCTCATCATACCTTGATCACAAGGGCCAACACACACGGTTCCAGGAGCTGCCAGCAGTGCCTCCGAAAAGCGGGCAACGACTGCAAGTGGAGCAGTTCAGTGTCGAGGCCAGGCATGGCAGTTGAGTGAAGCGCTCTGGCGGAAGCTAATCATGAAGACTCTGCATACCGACGCAAGGTATTAGACTGCATCGAAGCATCGCATGAACGAGTTTCAAGCTGCACGAGTGAGGCGGTGAGCCTCAAAGTTTGGTGCTCGCTCTACCTTCCCGAGGCGCACCGCAGCACGTCCCAACAAATTCGAGGGCAGCGAAGTAGTGTGGGGTCCTGTACAGGCCACGTTCCTTCCTGCCGCCCTTCGCTCTGCTGCGTCTTGGCCAATGTTTGCAACCGATGCAGCAAGACAAACAGGTCTAGCCTAGCTGCTCTTCAACTGAGCTCTTTGGATGTTGGGCTGTTTGCCAAGGACAGAGAGCTGCGTTATGGCATGTCTGCGTGGCTCTTGCCGAGTCTGACAAGCCCTGAGGTAGAATTCTTGGGCCTCGGGACTGAAACACTGGTGGTGGAGGGAGCGAAGGCTTTCGGCTCAAATGGCTTCTTCCAAGCTGTAGATGAGGCTGTTGCCATTGCAGGTCCGAGTAGCTGCACAACCCTGGCTCGTTGGAAGCTGCTCAGCCGCAAGCTTGTCCGTGTGGTCAGGCATGGCAACCTCAGAAAGGCTGTCAGGATGCCTATCTAGTAGCAATGCAGCAATCTGCAACTCCAGTAGCTCGAGGAGGTGGACGACACCTTGTGGGCTCTGTGTCCTCTGTCTTGGACAGCCTGTCGCGAGCCTATCTGCCGCAGGCAGGGCCGTGCTACTTGCATGGCTCGTGTGCAAGGAATTTAGCCGGGAATCTGCGGCAGGTGCGGAGGTCAATGCAACTTGGATCTAATTGGCCACACTGACACGAACTAGATCATCTAGATCTAGAGCTTCGGACATGACCTAGCTTCAACATGGACATCCAACAACCGTCGCCTTCACCAGCATGTGCCTTGTCAAGGGCTCAAGGGTCGTGGGGGTGCAGGAGTTTCAGAGCTTCTGAATTTCCTGTGTCAGATTCTCCCTCGTTGCCAACTCCAATGCCGCCCTTGGTGGCCTCCTTGGATTGCGTTGCTGGCGTCGGCTTTTCGGGTGTGCTCGCCGTCCGAGCCCCAGTGCATTATAATACTGCACGTGAGTTAAGTTTGAAGATGACAAGCACATGCGTTGTGTTACCAATTGTTCAAGGCATGAATCAGAGGCCTTTTCAGATCTATTCAGTACTTTTAGGTTGAGTTCAAGGACAATGGTGCCAGGACGGTGTTTTCAGCACGACTTATGATGAGTTTCTGAATGCGTGTTTGCAACAAATGGCGCGCCAAAGTGGTTTTGCCGGGAGCCCCGTCCGTTGGGCAAGGTGAATTTGGAGTTAATAGTTGCCTGACCATGATATACTATACGAAACTTCCGAGACAGATCAACAAAGCTTGCTACATGTTCGGTCGGGAGGACTTTGCGTCGCAGGAGGCTTCGAGAGAGGTAGCAAGAAAAACATGGGCTGGAAGTGGCAGGGAGCCCGAGGGTAAAGCCGGGAAAATGAAGGACCACTCGACAAGTTCGCGGTATAAACTCAGCAGAAAAGACAAGTGTATGGGCCTAGATCGCCTCCGTCAGGTCCTGAGCGCGTTTGATGAGCAACAAATGCTCTGTACCTGCGCATCCGCATGCGTGCGTGTGCTTGGCGTGCGTGCTTTCGTGCGCGCGCGTGTGGTTGGGTGGGAGGGCGGCGACAATTGCCCTTCTTCAGGATGTGGTAGAAGCAGTCACATGTTCAGATGCTAAGGTTGCACAACAGGGCTGGGAGAGAACTGTGTGCGGAATCTACGTAACTACTTCAAACCGCGTCTCAGCCCAACTCCGCGGAATGGCACAAAGTCATAGAGTCATAGAATTCCGAAGGCCAGACTGTCCGCAGCGTGCGGCCTGAGCTTTGTGCCCTGGGCGCGGATGGTGCTGTGCGTGCCGCTGATGGCCGCGGTGCTGAAGGCTTCTTTGCTGCATTCGCCGACAAGGTGCTCTGTGCCACAGCATGCCACAGCTACGGCTGCTGCGTCCAAGTCCAAGCATTGGGCCTTGGTGCAGCCGTGAAGCTGTGCACTTCTTCAAGATGTGCTGTGCTGTTGCAGAAGCTGAGCACTGTAGTTTGTCCTTCTGCAGAATGTGCATCCTTCGTAACATTCAAAGAGCTGATCAGCAGCCTGCAGACCAAGGCTCTTGGTTGTCGCAGGCACGTTGCTTTGTATGTAGTCCAGACCGGACTACAACTTCTTGTACCGGAATTCCGGACGTGTCAGATCGTGGGCGGGATAGAGGCTTCCGCATTTAATCAATCGGTGAAGGTGGACGGCAGCATCGCTGCGAACCCGCCAGAGACGACATGCGGCCGTTTCGTCAGGTCATTCTCTCAGGAGCAACATGTCACGTGTGGACTCATGATGAGATTCTGACACAGTGTGACACACATACACGCACAGTACTGAAGTTAGCAGGTGGCGCAGTCGCCAAAATCTTGGACCTGCTTGTCGAAAACAATCATGTCAAGACTTGTAGCAAGTACTAAGTACTAGTATGACACTTGAGATTGCTGGACCAGCAAATAGCTGATGACCGCTAGGTGCAGAACCTGAGCCAACTCAGGGCCATGGCGCCTGTCACTCACGACACTTCCGCTTTGTTCAGCTCTTCGGAGGTGCCTTCGACGATGCTGTCCCCGCCGCGGCTAGTGAGAGATGCGCATGACTTGCACAAGGAGTCAGATGCTTCCTATTCGTGCTTGTACTACGTGAAGTGGCTTGCAGTGGCCCGTGACGTGCATGGCGCGGAGAAACCTCCTCGCATGCCTCGCCCAAGAAGGCGTGGCTTTGCTTGGAAAGGGGCAGCAACTTGGCCAGGCCAAGGAGTCTTGAGCTCTATGGCCGTCAAGCGGATCCAGAAAGAGCGAAGGCCTCGAAACCCAGAGCCCTCACCGTGGTGCTGCCTTACCTTGCATGACCTCTTGCACTTGAGAACAGATGAGTCGAAGTTTCCATGCTTGGATGTCGGCGCACTCAGACCATAAGACAATATCCGACGATGCTTTCCAGCCTGCGAATACTTCCTGGTTGCCTGTCTCGATCTCGGTTGAAAGACAAGCCATGAATTGTGCAAAGCAGCATTCACAATCAACACCTGGCAGTGGCAGCATCACCAGCCAAAGTGCTTGAAGACCAAGCTGCAAACGCTAAAGGCTGCGACTAGAACCCTACCTCGACGGATCTGCAGCAAAGCTCACAGACGACCTCTGTGTGCCCTGCCTGGCCTGCATCAAGCCAAAGAGTGCCGAGGCGCTTGAAAGGACAGCAACCAGCCACGTCCAGATCGGATGTCTCTTGATGCTTGTGGCACTGTTAGAATGTTGTGCACATGGTCCAGTTGAACTCCAAGAGTTGGACATGTCCATGTTCTGCATCTGGCAGGCCATGTCGCGGGTCAGACAGTTCATCATGGGGTCGGCGCTGTCCGGCATCACGGGCGCCTTGATGCTGAAGCATTCCCGCCGACTTTACCGAGCAGCAGTGCTATGGAAAACGCGCGAGACTTTAAAAGTTGATGCACGGCCTGTGTTGAAGTGACAGCCAGGATGCACGAAATGTCGACCAATCAGATTGCTTTCTATTTGCGGGTGCAGGTCTTAGTAAATGCAGTTGTTGCTGCAATGCAGTGATTCTAGTGACTCAGTGGGCACCTCGTCTCTCTTATCCGATGGATTGCTGGCAGACTTGTCGTCCCGAGGCCGTGTCATCCGGAAGCCAAACTTTCGAGCAGTTACACTGCCGAGCTTGGCCCCGGAATTTTTCCGTACTGGTACACTGCAACAGCAGACTGAAGTATCGCGTAGTCTTGACGAGAACGTTTGAAACATGTTATGGGCCCGACGGCAACCGAGATGTCAGGTTCAGCCACCAGGGCTCACTTCTTGCAGCTTTTGTGGATGCGCGAGCATGGAATAGGCCGCCCGACTAACGTAACATTGCAGACTGTTTGGCGTGCCAGCAAGTCGTTGCCACGTTGCAAACCACTTTTGCAGCTCGTTTGAAGAGGTGGTTTGCTTTGCACAGGTTGGTTCTGGATATGCATGGCAAACTGTTGGAGTGCGGACCTCGGTATTTCGAAGAGTCCTATAAGCAGCTCATTAGTACCCGCAAGATCAAGCCGACGTTTATGAACCAATTACGTTACTGTTCCGTGCAACTCCCAAGACTGATATCCGTCACTCTGTTCGAGATGATTGTGCCACAACTTGACATGGTCGAGGTTCTGGCCTCAAGAATAGATGATGCGCAAGGCGGCAGATGATATGGGCCTGGAATATTCAATTGGAAAGATATTCAGATAAAATTGAATAAGACAAAGGAGAGATAGAGAGAAATATACATATAATAGGCCGACTGGGGACAATAGGGGGCTATCAATATGTATCAATATTTGAAAGGAATAGAATTTGATTTTATATAATTGAAAATACGACAAAAAAATAAAAAATAGATATAAGATATTGAAAATATAAGAATCTATGAAAATTAATTAAAAAAGATTTAGAGTTTTATAATTATTGCGAATTCAGTTGAAAAATTTCATATATTTTATTAGAAATTAGATTGGGCTCGATATAAAATCTCTATAGATTGATTAGTATTTTATATTTGATATCTATATATTTTCTAGTAAGAAAATATATAGAAAATAATTCTTCGATATTTCATTAAATTATATATAATTTTTCTAATATTTAATTTTTATTTGAGAATTATTGCTTTATATGGATTATTTATAATTTTATTTTATATATTTATAAAATTGCATAAATATATTTTTCTTGAAATTTCT